TATTTGTCCTATGTATGTTAAATGAGAAAGTAATGTACATGTATTGCACCAAAGTGTCAAATGGTCATTTATCTTTTATAAATACCATGAGTGGCACTTTATACACCGTTAATACATCGTTATATATATTTTTATTTGTGGTATCCTTTCATGCCGATTATGCATCGTTATGCATTTTCATTTATCACATCCTTTCATGTCGATAATGCACCGATATGCACCGATATGCATTTTCATTTATGGCATCATTTCATGCCGATAATGCACCGTTATGCATTTTCATTTATGGCATCCTTTCATGTCGATAATGCACCGATAGGCATTTAACTTGCATTAATGGAACATTTTTGCAAAAAATGCACCATTTCATCTAACTTGCATTAGTGACACCTTTCTGCCAAAAATGCACCGTTAGGCATTTAACTTTCATTTTAGAACAGTTTCTACTCTAAAACTTATTCATAATATCATTTTCATACACATTACAAACATATATTAAATATTGTAAAACATACATTAAATCAAAACACTAGAGATTGACTCATTGCGAGTCTCCCTCATCCCATATAATTACAATAAATGCACTTACCTGATATACCTTCCTAGTATACTGTAATGACGTCCAACTACTCGGCAACTTTATCCTTGCCCTTTTTCTTGCTTGACTCGGGAGCTTGGTTATGATCTACACAAGCATCCATTAAGTACACATACCATACAAATGTTAGTATACTCTCTAACATTTATACTTTAATAATACTAAAAAGTACTATTATTTTCAATTTCTGTTACAATTTCAGTCTATCTTACAATTTCAGACTCAATAGTATTGGTACCCTACCATGGTATCGATACTTCTATACTATGGTACCAATACTCCCTTTCACTATCGATACCATTTCTGCATTCTAAAATCCATGGTATCGATACCTTTCTCTTAGTATCGATACCCACATCAGTATCGATACTAATTGCAGCAGTATCGATATTGATCATCGTAATTCTTCAAATTTAAACCTATAGTATCAGTACTGTTCTTCCAGTATCGATACCCCTACCCATATTTTCCATGTTTTAAACTCGATTTTCACTAAATTTTTGTTTAATTCTCTTACTTTTACCTCTAAAAATACCCTTAAACTTAACATCACTTAATCCAACTAACTTTCCTCCATTTAACTTCTTATAACATCTAAATTCTCCAAATAACATCTCAAACTAAGGATCATACTACTTTTTCTAACATATTTTTAATCACATCCAAGGCTTCTAATCTATTATTTACTTCTTTGACAAGTTAAATATACTTGTAAATATCAATAAAAACTCACATTTCAATAAATCACTCAAAAACCCATTTTCTTCAATCTCAAATAAAACATTCATTTCTTAGTTTTAATCCTCTTTAACCCTTTCTTAATCTTACCCATCACATAAGTTTTCAAAAACAAACCCAAAACGAAAGGAAAACCAACATTAAAGAACCCTTACCTTCGCTATGGAGGGCACAAGACTAGGGGGAAGAAGAAGAGAACTTAGCTTGTTCTCACATTTTCCCTTTTTCCCTTTTAAATACCCTAATTAAAATGGATATTAAATCCATTTCCCCTTAAAGAACCAAAATACCCTTTCATTCTTCCATTCTTACTAATTGGTCTTAATCACAATTTCTAAATCATTTTCTTATATTTAACCATTTATTCAATTTAATCCTCCAAATTTTTAAATCTTTTCAATATAGTCATTGACCTGATATTTGGGGTATTACAATCTTTCCTACATAGTGTTCACTATGTGTACTAGACTTGACTTATCAGCGGAGTGTCCTAGAGCTAAATGTTGTCATGATCAATTTATTTGACTAGAGCTAGTTGGGCACCTCAAGCAATTATAAAAAAAATTAACAGATTGCTATAGCATCTAATAAAGACATGAGATTTAAAGTTAAAAAATTATAATTTCTTAAAGTATTGAGAACATGCACTTATAGTCTAAAAAGGTTTCTATGCATCCTAATTCTAACAAGTCTTTAAAACATTCTCACAACATTTCACAATTTTAAAATTTTCATCATAGGGCATTAAAAAAAATTCACTAAAAACTTCATTGAATGAATAACATTAAACATGCAACATTACTGGTCGTGTTGTGCAAGTGCTAAAATTGAACAAATATTATGTGCAAGTATACACATTCGAGCAAGTAATATAGTAGTGAGTGATTATCGTCCCCATAGGGATTGGAGGGATTTTTTTTAGTAAAGCTATAGTAAAAGGGTGTCACTATATATATGTGTGCGCGCGCGCATCCGCGTGTGCGCCCTCGTGTGCGTGCGAACGTACATGCGTGTGTGTAATGGTATAGGCAAATGATTAAAATTGTTTTGGCAAAAGTTTATGTGAAGTGATGAGGTAAACAATAAATTAATATATTAGCAAAATAAAATTAAACTTCGGAGAATGAAATAAGACTTGATAACCTTACACAATCAAACTTCTACAGGGATAAATGGTTGGGTTTGTTGTGGCAATTAATATTCTATGTCGAGAATGTTCTATGTATTCTATGAGTATGTTGCTTGACATGATTTGCTAATAGTGCTCCTAGGCTATCTCAAGTAAGGAACCTGACAGAAAAATATTACGGCAATACCTCTCAGCGTGAACTGCATTACTAGCCTATGAAGAAACTCTCTTCTTATATCTAAGGCAGATTAGAACCTTACCATCCTTTTAGCTCCCTTGTTCACGTCCATCTAGCCTAACTCTCTCAATATTAGACATCTATACTTAGAAAACGGCTAATTCTTGAAAGCTCTTACGAGACTAAGCATTTAAAATATAAACAATAAGCAAAACAACATTTAAGCATAAAATATTCAACCATTCATTAACACAAAATAAAAATCATTCACAACAAACTCACGTCAAATAAAGTTAGTTCATGGTGGGACTAAGTTTATCCATCATCAACGTTAAATACAAACCCATGTAAAATAAAGAAATGAAAGCACAAGGATAAGAAAACTCCCAAATAAGCTACTACCGTGACCAAATGTGAAAAGATTATTCCGAGTAATAATATTTTTCCGTAAACCAAATGTGAGAATGCAATTCCCAAAAAAAAAAAGATTATTCCTCTTGACAATTTTATTTTCCGCGAACCAAACACCCTTTACTGCATGCAACAATATACCTTGACATTAAATTTTGAAAAAGCCAAATATTAAATTATTAAAAGTTCCAAAAACTTTAACAACTATTAGAATAAATTTTCAACATTTTTGGGAGAAATACTATGTATATTAAAGAAAATTTTGAAAAAAAAAAATAAGTTCATTAAGAATTTTTTTATTGAAAATTAGGTCATAAAGAAAAATTTTGAATTCTGGGAGCTGAAGGTCCCCGACTCTTTATATCTTCTGCCTCTAATTGCATGGCTCGTTATTATTTTGTAGTTTTATGCACCATGAATATATTAAACAAAATCAGAATGGACTTCTCGTACAAACAATTCCTCCAATGATTAAAGCCTCCATAATAAGATAATACCTCCAAAAGTTCTCTTCCGTCGACTCGTAAACTTCGGGTTTCATATCGAATATTATTAATTTTCTTGGGTCAAAAGAAAAATGCGTGAATGATTTAATTTGATTTGGTTAACTGTTGATGACTTTATAACTTGAGTTAATTCTAGGGTAAGTACAAGTTTAATAGTCAACTATCACTTTTGTTCCCTTCTGGTTTTAATTTTATTTTGATTACCCGTCACTAAAAATATAAAAGATATGTTCACGTGACATTTTTTATTTTTTTCAATGATGATAGGACATTATCTTATGATGATACATCAGCAACAGGTAACCAAAATAAAACCAAACTAAACGTTTGTATGATTTTGAAAAAAAAATTGGATCATCAAAATGAAAAAAAGTGATACTTGGGGTACTAAACATGTATTTACCCTTCATTCTATTAATGGAAGTCCTGTTCCATTATTAACTTAATCAACCACATTCAATCCCTAACCCACACCAAAAATAGGGAGCCAGACTTCAACTACAATCATTCATCACAAGCTAACTTCCCCAATGTCTAAACTTAATGTACATAACATGTAACAAAAAATTAGTCCAAAGGCTCGTGTTTGCCCCATAAAATATCACACTTACAAGTTTCCTTTTTCAAGGCATCTACGGAAAGAACTCAAACTCCTAAACAAGTAATTGGTACAAAATTTAGTTATATCATGCATCACAGCATACAACCGACACATATTGCCTGTGTTTCTCCGACATTATTCAAACCATTAAGGAGTAGCAAAGACATTATTCAAACCATTAAGGACTAGCATCTATTACCACCAGAGTGATTAAGGAAAATGTGGAAAAGATTAGGCGCACACCTCACCATTGAGGTTGGCAGCTTCAGGGTGGTAATAAAGCATTTCCTTCCACATCATCTCCCTGATCATTTCTTCCCCCAGATCCTCATCTATGTCAAGATCGATTGGCACTTGGGCCGGAGGATTGCTGTTGGGATCATACAAGGGTGCCATGTAAGGGTGTTGGAGTGCTTCGGTTACACCAATCCTTTTCGAAGGATCAAATACAAGCATTTTTTGCAGTAAATCGATTGCCAAAGGATGGGCATTCGGATAAAGACGGGGAAAGGGGATTCCCCGAGAATATGGGAGTGATTTAATGTAGTTCCTTGCCTTGGGGTTATCTATGAATTCAAGATCCTCTTCCTTCTGGCTGCCAATAGTGTTGATGATCAGCTTAAGTTGGTTGAGACACTCTGTACCAGGGAAGATAGGTTTCCGGCCAAGAAGCTCGGCAAAGATGCATCCGACAGACCACACGTCGATGGATGTTCCATAGTTGTCACAGCAGAGGAGAAGCTCAGGAGCCCTGTACCAGCGAGTGACAACATACTCTGTCATGAATTGACCCTTGGCATTGCTTGTGCGAGCCAGTCCAAAGTCGCAAATTTTAAGATCACAATTTGCATTTATAAGAAGGTTTCCAGGCTTCAGGTCACGGTGGAGAATATTTGCAGAGTGAAGATACTTCAAGCCTCGAAGTAACTGCAAGAAGGAGATTGAGGTACAATTTTTTTTTAATATTAGATCATTGTCACAGCAGAAACTTTAATGCAAAATTCAAGAACATTACCCCTGCATAATCTTTTCAATTACTAAATAAAAGTCATGCACATAAAAGCTAGAAGTCCCATTACGCCCAAACAACTGAGAGAAAATGCAGTCACGACCATGGTTTCAAATCGCGGTCGCGGTCGCGTTTTCGTTCATTTCAGGTTTACCGTGATTGTGGCCGTCGCGGGCGCTATCGTGGGTGTAGCGGGTAACTCGGATGGTGGCGAAACCGTAATTTCGCGAACAAAATCACGTTTTCGGACCGTGATTTGAAACCCTGGTCACAACTGATGCAGCTACTCCGAAATGTGCTTCTTTATGAAAAACAATTTTTATAATAGTAGGCCTTTGGATAAAAGCTTGTAGAAGCATGATCATACCAGATATATTAGAGATGAAAGTAATAATCATTTCAGGCCAGTACATTATGGTCGAAAGCTAGAATGCCTAGAATGTGTTTCTCGATAAAAGCTATCATGAAATAGCTCCCATCATGTCAGTCCCTAACTGTTGTCTAGTCATGTTAAAACATTGGAGATTAATTTGCAGGAACAATCATTTTGATCGACCAATAATTTAATAGAGTGCTAAGAATGAATGTAACAACCAGACAGTAGTACTATTCAACAAAGGAGAACAACCAAAAAGGAAAGCACAAGAAATAAAAATATAGATTACATGATAATTATCATAAATTAGTGTACTAGTGGTAGTAATGCGAAGTTATGCAACATAGAATCCATGTAAAACACATTCAAATTTGACACTTTCCGTTCTTGATTCCTTGCTTAAACTTCATTCAAGTAGAATGTAATGAAGTTTGGCACAAAGGAATGTTTGTTAAAACATGCGCACACAAAATGTATGAATTGCAAGCCCGTGTATATAAAATTAGACCCTTTAGTTTCTTGCTCCGTATATTAACTTCATATAACTGAAATGTAACACCGCGTAGCAAGAACAGTTATCCATTTTAAACAAATAATCTAACAAAACTATCACAATAAGATGCTTTTGCAAAGGGATTCGTATATACCTGGAAGAGGAAATACTGACAGTGATCATTTGAAAGCGCTTGGGAAGACTTAATAATTTGATGCAAATCCGTATCCATAAGTTCGTACACTAGATAAACATCCTTGAAACTTCTCCTATGAATGGGCATCATGACATCTTTCAAGGCAATCACATTTTCATGTCTAAGATGTCTGAGAAGCTTCAGTTCACGCAAAGTCCTCAGTGCATCAACCCGGTTGTCAAAGGCATTGTGTATCTTTTTAATGGCGACTTTGTCATCAGTTTCGCGATTAACGGAAGAGCAAACGATACCATATGCCCCTTTCCCAATTGGCTTGATGGGCACATACTTGGTGTCAATTTCGAACAACGTTTTCCACATGGAATAGTAATGTTTTCCTGGGTAATGAATACCATTCGGAGGCTCCATTGGCGTTGCCATCTCCTGCTTTTAACCCCCCCCCCCCCCAAAAAAGAAAGAAAGAAAGAAAGAATAATTACATGAATAAACCAGACTCCATTTATAAACAGATACTTAATAAAGGGAAAAAAGGTTTCCACTTTGGGTGGAATTGATTTTAGTAATTACTGTACTGATTATTTTCAGTTAATTAACGAAAGGCATCGACTTCACCACACAATTAAAGGAATTTAAAGAAGAAAAAGGCGAAAGAAGTAAGATTACTAAGTTTTTACCTGTTTCGATATTTTCTCCGCGGTTCTTCTTTGATACTAAACGAACTGAACCTGGAGAATTTGGGCGAATTCTGTCGGCTAATCAACGTCGGAATTCATTTCAAAATCATCAGAACAATAAGGAAACCCTAATTGAAACAAGGTCAAGGTTGAAGTATGAGCTAGAGCAGACCGATCTCGATTCCGCGAAAAAAAATCAACTAGAACTCCACACAGAAAAAAAGAGATACTAGTTTGGATTCTGAGTGCAATTATTAGTTGTGAGAGAGATGAGATCTGAAGGACGGGAAACTTGGTTACCTGGAGGCCATTAGAGTAACGACAATACCAAACAAATAATTATTAGGATTTTTCTTTTCTTTGGGTTGGATTTAACCTGCACCGGCTTTCACTCCGGTGACGACAGCTACTGCATCTTTTCTTTTTTAAGTTTGCCCATTCATGTAGGGGCCCCACTGTAGCAGCGGCGGCAACCGTTCATTAGAAAAAGCTCCATCCATATACGACGTCATTTTATATCGGTTTAGATATAATACCATTTTCTGGATGGTATCTTATCCATATTACAATCAGAAAGTGTTTAGATTTTGCTTTTATCTTTGTCTTCCTTTTTACTGTTTTTCTTAGGAAAGGCGGGTTAATATATAGTTAATGTATAATATTATTTGATACCTTATAAGATATTTAATAAATTCGGTTTAGTGTTATGAAAATGTAGAGTAATAATAATGTTATAGGTGGAAATCATGAATAAATATTAGTTGTCAAACTTAGTTTGTCGGTATGTATCGATACAAATAAAAATGTATTGATCCATAACAATATATATAAAAGGTAAAAATATGATAAAATCGGTTTCATTATGAAAAAACCAGTAAAGCGATACTGGATATATTGAAAGTATTGATTCCATTGAAATAAGTATCGACACTTTTGGAATTTAAAAGAGAAGCAGTAATAGTGTATATAAAGTGTCGATACATAAAAATATATCGATCCATAACAATATAACAGGTAAAAATATGACAAAATCGGTTTCATTATGACAAAACCGGTAAAGTGCTACCGGATATGTTGAAAATATCGATTCCATTGAAATAAGTATCGACATTTTTGGAATTTAAAAGAGAAGAAGTAATAGCGCCTATAAAATGTCGATATTTTATAAAAATGTATCGATCCATAACAATATAACAGGTAAAAATATGACAAAACTGGTTTCATTATGACAAAACCGGTAACGTGCTACCGGATATGTTGAATGTGTCGATACTTTAATAAGTACGCGTAATAAATTATCGATACTTTTAAAAGAAATAAGTAAATATTTTATCGAAAGTATCAACACCTGACATCAAAGTATCGACACTTTGGTAATTGTATCGATTAAATATAAATAACATATCTGGTTAAAATATAAAAGGCATAGCTAAATTTCCTCTGAAAATATATAGGAGACGGCCGAATTTTTGAAATCGAAGCGTAATTGTTGTTGCATTCTAGAAGGCATTTTTAAAGCGAAGTTTGTTTGTTTGTTACTGCAGTCGAATCGAAAAGTACGTTATCGAAACCCTAGTTTTTTATTATTACAGTAATCGGAAATAGGGGTTTTATGTGTTGTTTGGGGTTTTCAAAGTAAAGAAGCATTTGAGACCGATTACAGATAGAAAATGATATTATAGGTAGATAATAAATATCGATACTTTTATAAACTATTATAGGTAGAAAATGATATTGTAAGTTGTATAGAGTATTCCCATTCGTTTGAAGGAAATAGGGATTAGGATTTTTGGGTTTGGTTTGGGGATTTCGAAACCAAGAAGGATTTGGGACCGATTATATAATATTATAGGTAGAAAATAAATATCGATACTTGTATATAATATTATAGGTAGAAAATGATATTGTAGGTTGTATAAATGTGTCGATACTTATAGTAGTTGCCATTCAAATTCTTTTGAATGAAACAATTTTACTACAAGTAGGGGTGTGAATAGGTCAGGCCAGGCCAGGCTTTAAAAGGCATGAGTCTGGCCTACGATGAATTTTTTAGGCTTATACCTGACCTATAGCTTATCAAAGGCTTTTATTTTGGCTCGGCCTGGCCTTTTTAAAAGTTTGTCCTGGCCTGATAGCTTTTTTAAAAGCCTTCTTAAAGTGAGTAATAGATAACCTTTGTTATTCTTTGAAGATGGAGTTACAGTGTGATTTTTTCCGGATCCCCTATTACATTTTGTTTGTTTGTGTTAAATACCCATTTACAACTGAAAAAGAATATTCATACTTCCTTGTGTTTTGTTTTTTTTTTCCAGGTGGAGTGGGTGTGTTGGAGCAGCAAGATATGGGCAGCTCCTTGGGAAAGGTTGAGGTGTGGGCATGAATTGTGGCTGCCAGATAGGGAATCTGGGAGTAGAACATGGTTGTGCATGGTGTGGGGTATGGGCCTAATTAATTAAAAATGGTGCTCATATAGTAAAAAGAAAAAACACGAGTATAGAGAAAAATCTACTCATAATCAAGGCACATGCTTTTGGTTGCCCACCCGTGCAAGTGGGGTTTTAATAATGCTAATTTGTGAACTAATCTAGCTATCAATCTCCCCAATAATTAAAGCATTGTCTTTCATAACTATTAAGGGAAAAAATAATATAAGTATATATATATATATATATATGCTGGCCTATCAGGCTTATAAGGCTTTTTAATAAGCCTAAGCTTGTTCTATTTAATGTAATAGGCTTTTAAAAAAGCCTAAGTCTGATCTATTTATTAAATAGGACAGTCCAGGCCAGGCTTTATGTAGGCCAGGTCGTAGGCCCTTGTAGGCTGACCTGGCCTATTCTCACCCCTAACTACAAGGGTAATTATCGATATTTGCATATTAAATAAATTATATGTAACCAGTATTTGATTTTGATTTGCTTAAACTGATATATGAAGGAAAAATGAAGTCAACGGATCTTACAATTGTTGATTGCGAAGATGACTTTGAAATTGAGGCTAAGATTCGAAAGCAACCGAAGGGTGGATATATGTACTTCTAGTAAGTATCAATGTATTTTTGTTATTATTTTTGAAATTGTAATTGGATTAAAGTATTTAAGAACTTTAAATTGATTACAAATTTTAAATGTTGACAGTATGATCGAATGTCAAAGGATGAAGGAAACTGGCAATCACATCGGTTTGGTATGTAAAATGAAATTAACATTGAGTATTATTTAGCGTTAATGCATTGAATGAGAAACTTTTATGCCTAATATTAGGTGAAAAATGATGTGTTGGAGAAATAGAAGTTGATGAGTGATGCTGAGAAGGAACCTTACATGAAACGGTCAAAGATGGATAGACAATAATACAAAGCTTGGAGGAAAGCACATGAAAAGAATGTATTCATTAAACTTGTAAATACTTTGATAAAAGATATATTAAAACAATAACATTATATATTTTTTAAAAATGTAGGAAGTGTCGACAAGGTGCATCATAAAAAGAGTGAATTCGTTAATTGAACACCTTAAGGAGAATGAGCAATTGAATATGCTGAAAGAAATGAGGTTTGGATCTTTGATAGGAGTGAGGGATCGACCAATTCAGAGGGAATTGTGTCGATCCTTGGTGGAGCAATTTGATGTCCAACAATGTATGGTTAAATATGGTTATTATTCATTTCCTCTGGGGGGGTCTCATGTTCTACCGCCATCTTGGGGGTAGAAAATAAAGGCAAAAGTGTTGTAGAAGTCAATAAGACTAAGAAATGGAAAGCACTTGCCTCCAAATGTGATTTGAAGCACAAGGTGACATATGCTGAACTTGAAGAGGAAATCAAAAGTGGATCTTACAAGGGGGATGACCTAAAGGCCCGAGTTCTATTGTACCTTATCGGGATCTTTCTTTGTCCAACTGGTGATACATCAACGAGCAAGGAAAATATGAATTTGATTTGCGATGAAGGCTTGAAAGGTGAATTCAATTGGGCTGAATATGTCCATTCGAGATTGATTGAATCAATAATCAGCTTTCAAAAGGGCCACCAGAGATACCTCAAAGGGTGCATAACAATTTTAGAGGTAAATGAGTTGAAGAACATTTTTGTATTTTTATATAAAATGATAGTATAGTTATTATATAAAATGATAAATTTAATTATAAATGCAGGTTGCACTATTTGATTTTTGGTCGGAATATGAAAGGCTTAGAGTGGCACATATCCGTGTATGGGGGAAGGAAGAGGTGGTTATAGTGATGGCGAAGTTGAAGTTGGATAGACCGACAAAGCAAGAAAGGGTAATAAATGTAATTAAATAATATTAAGAATATAATCAATGTATTAATATTGTAATTTATTTTTGAAGGTTATTGGTAAGGAGGTAGAGGAGGCAGTAGAGGAATAGGAGAAGAAAGAAGAGATGGTAGTATGGGATGACGGTGAGGGGGATGACGGTAAGGGAAAACAGAGTAAATTCGACATTTTGATGTCTGAATTGGCGGATGTAAAAAAATTCCTTTTTGATATTTTGCAAATACAATCAAGAGTCGAAGAGGCAATTGAGAGGCTTAAGGGGGAAATGGGTGGAAAAATAGATGAAGTGGTGAAAAAAGTTGTGGAGTTGAGGGGTGAAGTTAAGATAATGATGGGTGGTAAAAATGATGGAGTCATGAAGGAAGTTGTGGATTTGAGGGGTGAACTTACGGGGGTGACGGGGGTGGTTAAGAAAAACTTGGATGAAGGGGAAAAAATGAAGGCTGAATTTAAAGAGATGAAGAGTTATGTAGAGGAAAAATACGATGAATTGAAAGAATATGAAGAAGAAAAGATGAAGGAAATGAGGAGGAAGGATGTGGATGTGATTTATACACCGGAGAGTGTTATAGATGTAGATTTGGATTCAGAATGTCCTGCAACAATGAAGAAGAAGAAGAAGGTAAGCTGAATAAAAGAAAACTTAATTTGATTTTTATTATGTTGTTGTGACAAAAATTTGTATGAAAAATTGTAGGTTGAAAAAGCGGAAATTCCAAGCGGAATTGGTGGTTACGAAGCTGCAATGTGTGATTATTTATGGAATAGTGGGTTAGAATTGTCGTAAGTGAAATATATTGTTTTGTGAGTGATATTTAAATATTTAATGACAAAATATTAATCCTAATGTTTCATACAGATATGTTGTAATCGTAATGGGAAATCAATTCGCTACTGTATCTAACGTTGAAATGTTGAAGCTTATGGAATGAGTTAGCAGTGCGGTAAGTAAAAAGTAAAAAATGTTAAACCCTTGTGAATATGTTCTGATTGTGTAATTAATTTTGTTAGGTTATTGATTTGGTTGACTGGACATTATGTTACGAATCGAAAAAGTTATGTGAGAAGATTGACTACCCTCCATACCACTTAGCGGCGAGTTAAATTAATAAATGTTGAAAAGCAGTGTTATAGACGGTAAATTAATAATGATTGTCGCGTAAATACAGCAACAGGTGTTGGAGGTCAACACAACTGTTGATGGTGTTGCGAGCTTTTGGGGGTCGATATTGGATGACTATGTGAAATTCACCGAGTGTGACAAGGTAAGACACCATACGAATTACAAATGATGTTTTATGATATATAATGTTAAATTTTGTCAAATTGGGTGTGAAATTTATTACAGATCCCGATCACAATAAACTACACTGGTTCTCATTAGTATCTGTTGGTATTGTATATGATAGTTGGTGCTGTATATGATAGATTGTGTTGTAACGGTATATGATAGTCTATTTTCATCTCCAGCGGTCAAACAGAGAGTGAATGATGCTAAGAGATTGGTATCTATGAAAGGAAATTATATAAATTATAATGCTTAATTTGTTTGGATCATAACTTGATATTTTTTAATGCAGATGACAATATTAGATAGATATAATCAGGAACGCATTTTTGTAGAAACATGTGACCATCTAAAGGTCCCATTGAAAAAATTCAAATTTGTGGAGGATAAGATGAATGAGCAATTGAATGGGTATGAGATGTTATCATAAATAGAAAGCGCAGTTTATGCAGGTTTCATAATTGACATGTGTGGTATTCAAATTTTGTAACATATATGATTGCGGCATGTATTTGATTATACGGATGGAATCGATCGGTTCTAGAGGAGCAACTGGTGATTTTATAAGTGGAATGAAAAATTAGTTTGCAGTTAAATTGTTAAAAGTCATAGATTGAATGTTGTGATTTACAATACTTAACGTACTGATAATTTGAATATAGGTTGTTGGAGAATGGGATCGTATGCAAAAATTAAACGATCTCGTAAGTAACGATCAAAATAAACGAAGAGAGAAGATGACAAAAGTTGCCATCAGACACAGAAATAACAAAAGGGCATGATGATGTCAATGTAAGGGAAATTTTGTATTCGATTTATAATTTGTATATGAATGTAATTATGTATGAGATGAGAAAAGTTAGCAATATGTTGTTGTACATGTTTCTTATACATAGTAGGAGTCATGTTGATACTTAAGATATATCGAGATCGTTGTCTGCATTATTCCAAATGTCACTAACATAATTGTCATCATGTGCGGGCTGAATGGTCATTTCATTCCGTCTTCAAAAAAATTAGTTGATGTAGACTGTGTGCTTGTTTCCAAACTGAGCTTGACCTGAGGACATGTTAGTTTGTTATGTCCCTCACCGTTGCAGAACCCACATCGCCTAATTTTCTTCTCGACCTTATTCTTTGGTATTTCTTTTCGCTTGTGTTGTTTTCGTTGTGGGTCACGAACGTTGTTTACTACAGTTCTCCGATTGATTGAATCATTTAAACCAAATGAGTTTTCAAATTCTGCTGTTAGTCTTTTCATCTCATCTCTTGAGGTTTTGAAAGACACATATGTCTTTGAAGCAATGTAATATAACCGACTTGACGTTGCACGTAGAGCAGCGAACCTTTCCATTTTCATTACTTCTAGAGGCACATTCAAGTCAACAAAACTGGGTGCACAAGCCTTCGCATCCTTAGTCCACCTACTTTGAATCAAAGACCCAGGCAAATATGTGTAATCCAAGTGCTTCAAAACATGAAGTTGATGGCGACATGGATGTCTGACGGACTCGAATTTTCTATATGGGTAATTTAGGGTTCATGTACCAAAATTAAAACTGATTTCAAATGTCTTATTTTTCTTTGTACTTTGTCAAAATATAATTTTGACATTCATCTGATAAGTCCTGAATCTGGTATAACGTCTCCCGTTAAAGTTCTTCTTGGAACAAACGAAAAGATTTGCGCGTATAAATCTCAGCAGTATGGCTTTCAAGGTCAATCAGTTTTGTGATATGGAAGGGCTTCGTCTGGGAACTTAAGTAATCCGCTTTCAACTCGTTCATACGCACTCTACTAATTCCTTCTTCAATTGTACGAATAACATCTAAATATGTCTTCTTGTGTTTCAGTGAAATCGCGAGTGAAGCATTCATAGACTCACACCTTTGTGTTGAGCGAATATTGACAAAGAAATGACCGGTTAGATATGCTTGTGACCATAAGTGCCGAGTATTTCCCTTCTCAATCACACATGGATGCTTTTCGACATTGAATTCTAAAACAACTGAACGCCAGTGAATATCAAATTCATCGATTGTCCACCAAGAAGTCATGCATTTTGAGAATGCTACTGTAAATTTTGAGTCACCAATGTTAGCTTGTGCATTGCGAGAAAGATGCCAAGAACATAATATGTGCTTATCAGAAGGGATAACAGATTTGATAGCCCTCTGCATTGCCCTATCCCAATTGGTGACAACTGAAATAGGCGATTTATTCATCATGGCTTCTAAAAAATTCTTTAGCACCCACTCGAAAGATTGAGACGTCTCGTCAGCTATTATGGCAGTAGCAAACACAATTGTGTTACGGTGATGATTGACACCGACAATAGGCATAATTGGTCGACCATACAAATTATCTTTGTACGTTGTGTCGAACGCAATTACATCACTGAAACATGTGTAATCTGATCTTGATGTACAATTTGACCAAATAAGATTATGTAATGCCCCTGATTTGTCTACCGAGTATGTCATAAAACAACCCGGGATCATCATGTTTCTTATAATCAAAGTAAGCAATAAGTGCATTCACATCCCCATTGTAGATTTCCTTTACTTTACATCTTTGAAATGCATTGTAGAGGTCTTTATGTGTAAATCCAAAAATATGATAACCCCCTGCCTGCTGCGTTAAATAGTTTATTACTTGTGATGTGCCAACACCGACTTCTTTCAATATTGTTGCCTCATCGATATCAGCCTTACTTACAGCTTTATTAGAACGCATAAATAGTGTCATAGCAGGTGTGCACAATGCATGATTATGTTTATGAGAAGACTTACTTACAACCTACTGATCTTTTGTATTTGTTGTTGTAACTATGACTTTAGCCCATCCCGTCCTTGTGACTGGCATATGAGCACGTTGACGATCAACAGTATTGACTTTGGATACTCAAAACACTTCTTTGGAACAACAAAATTCTTGTGTCTTCACATTCCCTTCCATATCAAGCTGTGTTGTTCCCCGACGTACACTAAAACCATGTTCCCGTGTGAATCCCTTGTAAAAGTACCAAGCTTGATCATATGAAGAAAAGAGATGACCAACCAATCTGTCAGATTCATCAACAATAAGTACATCATGGCATTCCTCGGTTGGCTTAACATTTTCTGATGCAGTATGATCCATATGGCAAAAATTTGGTTGTGCAAGTTCAATTGTCACAACAGGAGTTGATGGAGATGTAAGTAAAGGTTAATAGGATAACATGGTTCAGTGGTGCTTTCAATAGGATGTAGTAGTTGAAGGGTGGGTACAACATTAATTTTGTAGGACATATTTAGGTATGTACAATAACTAAAAAATTCAACTTTTATTACTTTAAAGTATTAATAGGTAAATTTACAATGTAAGTGGTAAAAATAGACTTTTTTAATAACAAAATTAGTAAACACAAAGTTTCCAACATTTTTGTCCAGTATGGTTCCAAAACTTGAGGTATCGATATATTTATCATAAGTATCGACACATTATAAAATAATAGGTAAATTTACAATGTAACCGGTAAAAATATACTGGTTTTATGAGAAAATAGGTTAACATAATGTATCGATATTTTTATAAATTGTATCGATACTTTATGTCCATAATGACTGCCAAACAAGATGCACACATAAAGTGTCGATACATTTATTGTAAGTATCGATCCTCAAAACATCAAAACCGATTATTATAAAGTAATAGGTAAAATATATCGGTTTAATGAGAGAATAGGTAAACATAATGTATCGATAATTTTAAAATTGTATCGATCCCAAAAACATTAAAACCGATAATTATAAAGTAATAGGTAAATTTACAACGTAATCGGTAAGAATATACCGACTTTATGACATAATAGGTGAACATATTGTGTCGATACTTTTGGTCCAGAATGAATGCCCAACGAGGTGCACGCATAAAGTGTCGATACATTTATTAAAAGCATCGATCCCAAAAACATCGAAACGATTATTATAATATAATAGGTAAATTTACAATGTAACGGTAAAAATATGCCGGCTTAATTATAAAATAGGTCAACATAATGTATCGACACTTTTTAAATTTGTCTCGATACTTTTTGTCTAGAATGAATGTCCAACGAGGTGCATGCATAAAGTGTCGATACATTTATTAAAAGCATCGATCCCAAAAACATCGAAACCGATAATTATAATGTAATAGGTAAATTTACAATGTAACTGGAAGAAATTTACCGGTTTAATTAGAAAATAGGTCCACATAATGTATCGATAAATTTGTGTCGACACTTTTGGTCCAGAATGAATGACAACGAGGTGAACGCATAAAGTGTCGATACATTTAAAATTGTTTCGATCCCAAAAACATCGAAACCTATAATTATAATGTAATAGGTAAATTTACAATGTAACTGGTAGAAATTTACCGGTTTAATTAGAAAATAGGTCCACATAATGTATCGATAAATTTGTGTCGAGACTTTTGGTCCAGAATGAATGACAATGAGGTGCACGGATAAAGTGTCGATACATTTAAAATTGTATCGATCCCGAAAACATCGAAACCGATAATTATAATGTAATAGGTAAATTTAGAATGTAACCTGTAGAAATACCGGTTTAATTAGAAAATAGGTGAACATATTGCGTCGATACTTTTTAAATTGTGTCGATACTTTTGGTCTAGAATGAATGCCCAACGAGGTGCACGCATAAAGTGTCGATATATTTAAAATTGTATCGATCCCTAAAACATCAAAACCGATAATTATAATGTAATAGGTAAATTTACAATGTAACCGGTAGAAATATACCAGTTTAATTAGAAAATAGGTCCACATAATGTATCGACACTTTTTAAATTTGTGTCGATACTTTTGGTCTAGAATGAATGCCCAACGAGGTGCACGCATAAAGTGTCGATACATTTAAAATTGTATCGATCCCAAAAACATCGAAACCGATAATTATAATGTAATAGGTAAATTTACAATGTATCCGGTAAAAATATATCGGTTTTATTAGAGAATATGTAAACATATTGTATCGACAATTTTTAAATTGTATCGATTTTTTTTAATTAAGCGTGTTTTTCCTTCATTATTTAAATGTTAAAAGAATCTATATAAACCCTAAATAAAAAAACCCAAAACCTAAAGACAGAAGAGAACTCTTCTACTCCAATGAATACTAGCATTCATAACAGTTACGATCAGATCTTCAGGTAAATTTATTGATATTTTGCTATAAATTAGGGTTTGATTGATTTCCATATTGGACTCTTTTTGTCCTTAATGTGTTTGTGTTCCAATGTAACATCATCCACACCCAAATGGCTCCAAAATGTCATAGGCGCGAGAACCCTAAATCTTCTTCTCAACCAACCTCTTCTCAACGACAACCTTCTCCTCAACCAAATGCTTCTTATGAACAAATCTGGTCGTTCAAAACTCTGAACTTTAGAACCAATGAGGAGAAAGAAATATGGTAGAGGAGTTTCAAAGTAAGGAAGATTCGTCCAGAACGTGTCATTGACATGGGTTTATTGTTTGATGAGAAATATGATTTTAGTTTTAAAACCACATTTACATCTTGGGGTTGGCTTGAATTCCTCGGTGTAGAACTAAAATATTACCCCAACCTAGTTAGAGTATTCTACAACAATGTTTCCTTCCAGCGTGAGCCTAATAAGACTAATATAATAGGAATTAATACCCATGTCATGGGGAAGGATATATATATATATATATATCTCCGGATTCTATTACTTATGGTATAGGTGTCGAGAATAAAGGGGATTGGGATGAGAATGATTTAGATACTTCAATCCAACATGTTGATAGAAATAGCATAATTCACCTAGATGTAAAGTCGAGAGTGTTTCACAAGATGCTCACTTGGTTTATTCGACCTTCTGGGGGAAACTTTTCAATGATTCGAGACAACGATTATTAGTGGTTAGCAAAGTATAGATCCAAAACGAATCCAAACATTGCTAAACTGATATTTAAGATAATTGTATATATGGTCACAAAGGGAGCATCAATTTCAACTTCACTACTATATGGATATGTCATCACTCATCTGTTGAAGAAGCATAAAGTTGATTTTTCGCAAGACTCCCATGTTTGATTAACCCGCAAGATTGACATGTTATTAATGACTAGAGCGGGATACGATTTTGTTGAAAATGTTGATTGGAAGCGTGTCAAGGATGTTGTTGGATTAGAATAAGAGAATGAGCAAATGGACCCCATTGGCCATGAAGACGACCAACCAATGGGATATACAATGATGAAAGACACTCTAGGTAGAGAGGATGTCACAATTAAGACAGTGATGGAATACATGGTCAGTTTTCGGGAGCATATTGATTCTCTTGTGAGCGAAATGTGAGCCGATATTTCATCATTGCATGATGAAGTCTTCATCTTGCGTGACGAATTACGTCAACGACATCAAACGAGTTAGGTAACTAATTATTTATGTTTTTAAACATTTATACATTGTAAAATGATTTTATTTTCTTTTAACAGATGTGGACAACCAAGCGCTCAATGAAGATGACGATGATGAAGATGATGATGATGATCCAAACAAGTATATCGTGTCTGCAACACCGTCGGCAAGAAAACTTGTAATTTTTTATGTCAATGGTTTCCTTGCCTACTTCTTAAAAAATGCAAAAGGTTTTAATTTTGTTCATTTGTATCCATTATTTTAACATATAAACGTACAACATTAATCTCATTTTCTTCATGTTGTAGATGTTATCCTGAGAATAGGAGTATATGAATTTATACATTTTTGTTTACAAAATTTTGCTGTTGCCATTTGGTCTTCCAGGATGAGGTTAGAACTGTTAAGTAGTTGAATTACTATAGACAAAATCGTTAATATACAATTAAATGTTAACATTCAAACTTGATTACAATCTCAGGCATAACATCGACCGTATACTTCAGAAACTACCTTTGTTGTCTGACCAGTTTCTATTCATTTGGGTAAGATGAATGTCATTACACTTTGCTGACTTTTATTTGTTTATGATTCCTACATATTTATGTTCGACTGTTTGTAAACAGGATCAAGGAAAGTGCAAAAAAAAAGATGGTTTTACCTACTGTAAAGATCTCCATGATGTTTGGAACGCTTATCCTGATTTTAACACCCTAAATACACTGTTGGTCGATGATTCAACGCGAAAAATGATTTATAATCCGGTAAGTTACATTTATGCCATATGTTTGTCTAGTTAAACAGGTGTTCATACATTCTTTGATTAACAATTTATGTTTTTATATAGCAATACAATTACATATGTCCACATCCCTTTGACGTTTCCTACTTGGAGGACAATGCTTTAGGTATGACACAAATTTATTCCTGTTTATGCCAATTTAGTTTCTTGTTAGTAAAATTGCACCTGATTAGTTTGATAATTGAAATTATTTATATATGTCATCAGAAAAAGGTGGTAACATATGAGAGTATTTGGAAAATATGTGGAAGATGCCTAATGTTCCAGACTTCGTTAGAAATTACCCTTTTTTATTGGATTAATTTCGTAGTATATGAATTATTTAAACATTGTTATGTATAAATTTGTTGTGTATGTATGTTTGGTTTGATTATATTGTGTGTATATTTTCATTCGATTCACATAATACACATAATGAACTATTTTCAATTTAAAAAATACTAAAACATACAACCACAATAACTGTGTATTTTAATATTCCACAATATAACATGTGACTTACACAGTAAATATTACATTCGGATAGGTTATGCATACCAATCTATCTATCTTATCTCCTATTCTCTTCCATGTGGGCACTTTATTCCCATGTGACAAGTGTGACAACCCCATCAACTCACAACTTGGCTTTGAACTGAATCAGTATTGTCTTTTACCGGCTTAATGGTTTATAACGCATGTTACTTGAACATTATGAATCAATTATGCAATTTCCATGTTCAATTTAACACTGCATTTCATGTTTATTTCATATTTAATTGGAGTTTGAATTTAAATTTAAATTTGAGTTTGAATTTCGATATAAATTTTGGCTTCACTATAAATATGAGCCCGAGCCTTTGTTCTATCCAAACAATAACTTACTCAATGGATGCATTGGGAGGTAACATCAAATTTCATTTCTAAGGTAACAACAACCTTTTTCAAAACTTATTAACTTAGACAATTTGCATGTTATCATTGATTATTTCTAATTTCCATTGTTTTTTTCCCAACTTAAAACGCGAGAGAAATCTCGATCATCATAATCTTGAGTACCAAGAAGGAAGATTAGATATCTGAAGAATACCTTTCGGATACTATCCATTTCAGCCAGCTCATTGAGATAGGTTAACCCTAAATCAAAACCGTCAGAGCAAAACATACTTAATGTAGAAGTAGCTGCAGATTTAAAATCTCAATGGTGATGCATTTGGTTCTCAAATAGTTAAAGCATGTTGAGTTAATCGATCAACGGAATAGGCAAGAGGGGGGGTGAACTGACAATAAAATTTTCAGTGGAAGCTTTTGCAGAAAATTGAAAATATTTGCACAGTGATTTAGAGTGGTTCGACTTTCTCAATCAAAGTCTACGTCCACTACCTTAGCTATCCACACTAAGGATTTTTCACAAATTCACTAATTTGTCTTTCTTTTGAGGACAAAGAGTGACCTTACAAATCCCTCAAGAATTATATCCCAAATTCTTGAGAACACACTCTCCCAAAGAGAACAATACAAATTTAGCAAACTTACAAGAAAATCCTCACAAGGCAAGATGTTTGCACAATTCTAGAACAAAAAAAAAGAATATTCAAGAATAATACAATTGACCACAATAAGTGTTCTTGAAAGCAAAAATGAATATTGAATGAAATAGGCTTGAAAATGCTCAAACTTGAGGTTTGATGCTTTCTCTTTGATTCTCTCTTGATTCTTGATGATTGTTGTTGATCAATGGCTTCTAAGCTTGTCTAAATACTCCTTTGATCAATTTTGAATGTTGGGGGTCATTGGTGGAGTCAATAGAGTCGTTATTGTGTGAAAACAATTAATAAAACAACTTGGAGCGTGGGGGGTATCAGAACCCCTTCATAGGGTATCGATACTTGTAGTGTAAAATCCAAATATTTCGACTGTTATAAGACTAGGGGTATTGGTACCTCTGGGGGGTATCGATACCCTCCGAGCAATCTGTTATTACTTGGAGCCAAATCTTACATAGGGATATTGGTACCCTCTTGGGTGGGTATCGGTTCCCTCTGGGTAATCTGGTTTTTCGGTGTAAGATTTATTAAGAAAATATTTTTGGTTGATTAAGGCTCGAAATACTTTGTAAAATTGTTTAAAAGATTAAAACACACTTTTACACTTGAGTAAGGATTGAAATTGACATTTGAAAAACTTGGAGTAATATTTTGATATTCAAATAGTTTGATCGAATATATATTTGAAAATGATTAGAAAATCTTGAAATGACATTTAATTTTTTATATTGAACATTAAAATGTTTTCAACAATCTCCCCCTTTTTGATATAACAAAATATTTTAGTAATTTTAAGATTTTCTAATTGAAAATCATTTTTGAAATCAAGTTTTGAAATTATTCCCCCTTACTCTAATACTTTGAAAATAAATCACTCCCCCTTACTCTAATACTTCTCCCATTTTTTTGTTAAATCAAAAAGATTCGAAAACAGTTTTAAACAAGATTTTTTAAATTTAAGCCAATTGATAGTTAAGATAAAGCGTAAGCTGCTAAGATCACAATCAAGAGAAATGTTAGCCATGAGTTCCATAATTCAATATTAAAAAATAATGGTAAATTGGTCATATTTACTAATATGTAAATGATGTAAATGATGCAAAACATAAACCAAACATATATATGTATATATATATATATATAAAATTTAAGTTCAAACATCCAAAACAAATTCTAACATCCACAAATTCAAACATCCAAAATGTTAAAACAATAAGTTCTAAGTCCCATCCAAGAAAACTAAAGCAAGGCAATATTCAAGCATCTGTAGAAGGATCGGGAGGAGGAAAATGAGCTCACATAGAGGCCATCTCAAGTGTAAGCGCATTGATTCTTTCGTTTGTTATTTCATTGTTCACGCACATCTCACATAAAATATCCAATTGTTAAGCCCCCATAGTTGTTAGGTGGGACTCTATGGATGTAAACCGTGAATCCATTGATGCAAACCAAAAGTCGAATGTCTCCATAAACGATTGAAAATATGGAGGCATTTGACTCTCTTGCTATGCCGATGTCAGCTCATCGTTAGGAACTTCATCATCAATGTCTTGCATGAGTTATTGAAACTCAAGATCATCATCATCTGCCAGTGCCGTAGGAGGTGGAGCTCATAATGAATTAGCTCCAGGAGTTTTGTCGACTGAACGAACCCATTGATTAGATTCCTTATTCAATGTCCATCCCGATTTCTTTAAAGATGTCAAATTGATTTGGTCTTTGAGAGGGATGGCTACATCAAGTTGTACTCTAAGCTCGACTTTGCTAAACAAATTACTCAGGAGACAATTGTAAACTAGAGTTTCACAAACTTTCTTATTAGGAACAAGGTTTACGGTTTCTACGAGTTCGATGAAGATAATATGAGGTAGGTTAATTTTCCTATTATTTTGGATACAATGTATCCACCAAAGGTCTAAGGCTCTAAAAGAGGAGTATTTGCCTCCATATGGTCTAAACCACCAAGAGATCATCAGATGAAGAAAACGATCTGGGAGATCGAATACACTCGCACTAGACTTGACCTTGTAAGGAAAACCTATTGTTTCTTTTTCATTTCATAAGTCGTCATTGTCTAAACCAAATGCATCTGCTATATACTGAGTGTCAATATGGATGAATCGACCTAGAAGATAGGATCGTATTCCTATTGTTTCAGTTTTAGATTGATTTTGAATACAAACGAAATTTGAGTAGAAAATTCGAACAAGTTATTGGTAAACAAATGGTTGGAGGTGAAAATATTTATCAAACTTCCAAGCTTCTAGAGTAGAAAGATATCTAAAGTTTATTTATAGCATAGCTTGAAGAGATGGAATTCGTTCTTCTCGGATTTTGTATGACTCAAAATATTAAGAATACCTAAAGAAGAGATTTTGTCTACGACCAGGTCATTGAAGAATTTGTTGAATAGGAGGTGGATTTAGAGGTGGGTTAGGAGGTTAGTTTGTTCGACTAATGGACGTCCTAGGGTGTTTTGGAGACATTACTTAGGAAATCGGAATAGAAAAGATTAACCTGCAATTTTAAAACACATGTATACAATAATATCAATCCCAAAACTCAAATGAGTCATCATTATTTCAAGGTTCTCTAAAAATAATCCTAATGAGCAATATTGAAAAACTATTTTTGAAAACAATGTTTGAAAAATCAGTATATGTATAGTTTTCATGAAAACAACATAATTAAATAAAAAACAACAATTAGATTTTTTTTTAAATTCTAAAATTTCAAAACATTTTGAAAAAAATATTGTGTTTTTGATGAAATTAGTTGTATATTATAGTTTTAAACTAAAATCTAAGCAATTTCCAATATACATTTAAACCTAGAACTAATTAAAACTAGTTATATGTTCAAAATCAATAAAATAGTGGATTTAGAAAAATTACCTTGAAAATTTTGGATTTGAGTGGTTTTTGTTATTGATTGCACATTTTTAATGATTCCAGCAGGTTTAGGAGTTGAAAAATGAAGTAATTCCGACTTGTATTTGATGATTTTGGTAAAAGTGGAGAGTAGTGAGGAAGAGAGGAAGAACGACATTAGAGAGAGAGAGAGAGAGGTGAGGGTTTTGGCAAAAAGAAGAAATTTAGGCGTATAATAACCAGAACCCGTGTAGGGTATCAGTACCCTCATGTGGGGGTATCAGTACCCATTCAAGGAGGGGTTCGGTACCCATGTAAAGGGGGTATCGATACCTATCGTCAGAAAAATTAAAAATCTGTGTTTAATCATTTAAAAAGCCAAATTAATCTTTTATAGTGGTCTTGGTAACTCATATTACGAAAATTAACTATGTTCAATTAACCAAATCTATTCTTAAAACTATTTGAACATATAATCAATTTTCACTAAGAATCATAAACTCCCCCTGACTAATAGCAAATAATGTAATCAAAAATATTATTTTTATAAGCAATTTTTATTTCTAATTAAAAGTGCTAAGCTTATTTTAAACTCTATATAAAAATAGGCCAGTTAAACCTAATTCTCTCCTAAGTGTCCAAAATCTTTCTTTTATCTAAAGGTTTTGTAAAAATATCCGCTAATTAATACAAAGTATCCACTAATTGATGCAAAGTATCAACATATTCTAGAAATATATCTTCTTTAGTGACATGATCTCTAATGAAATAATGTCTAATTTCAATGTTCTTAGTTCTAGAGTGTTGGATGGGATTTTTAGTGAGATAAATAGCATTAGTATTGTCACACTTGGTAGGTATTGTACCTACTTCAATTCCATAATAAAAAAGTTGTTGTTTCATCAATAAAACTTGTGCACAACAACTACTCGCTGAAATGTATTCTGCTTCACTGGTAGATAATGCAACACAATTTTGTTTCTTTGAAAACCAAGAAATCAACATATTTCCTAGGAATTGAGAAGTACCGAAGGTGTTTTTCCTATCTATTTTGCATCCTCCATAAACTGCATCAGATAAGGCATGTAAGCTAAAGCTAGAGTCTCTAGGATACCAAAGTCCTAAACTATGAATGTCCTTAAGGTATCTAAAGATTCTTTTAATAGCTAGTAAATGGGATTCCTTAGTGCATGATTGAAATCTAGTACATAAGCAAATAGTAAACATAATTTCCGGTCTACTTGCGGTTAGATAGAGCAAAGAGCCAATCATTGACCTATACAATTCAACATCCACACATTTACATCCTTCATCTTTGTCAAGCTTTGTAGAAGAGCTCATTGGAGTGGCATGAGGTTTCTCATTTTCTAGTCCAAACTTCTTGAGCATATTCTTTACATACTTAGCTTGATTAATGAAGATGCCATCTTTTCTTTGCTTGATTTGGAGTCCCAAGAAAAATGAGAGCTCCCCCGTCATGCTCATCTCGAATTCACTCTACATTAGCTTAGAAAATTCTTGGCAAAGAGCATCATTAGTAGAACCAAATATTATATCATCAA